CCAATCCCCCCGGGGAGCAGCCCTAAGCCAGCAAGTGGTCACCCCCGTGGGGTCCCAGACTGCAAGAGGGCACAGGCCGAGCTGAGGGACCCCCTGCCCCCGAGTGCACAAATGTTTGTGCACCGGGCCTCTAGTATAGAATAAAAAGAGAACATAATAGGAGTTAAAATCTGAAAAGTGAAGACCAGAGCTTTCACTAAAAAGGTAAATTTGGGGAAATAACTCAAAGAGAGATGATATCTAATGTAAAGGGATCATTTTCTCAAGATCTGAATGTAAAGGAAGTACAAAGAACAAACTATTCCCCAACAAACTTGGGGAATAAGTAGTGAGTCACAAAAATTTACAGGTGAAATGAGGAAAAGTAATCAATAAGGATATAGAAGGAAATCAAACTAAAATAAATAGGGAGGAGAACCAAAATATGACATAATTAGACGTTAGCTAGTATTTAATTAGGCTAGAATGAAACTGCATCTTAGTCATCTGTAGTACCTACAGCCTACAACACTGTGTTTAGCATATAGTCTCTCAATAAATAGTCTGTGAAGTAATAAATTCAGATTGAAGTCAGTGTTTCACTAGGTAATGAAATTGGCAAAAGTGCTATCCAGCATGAGTTATTTTAGAATATTTTGGTTTTTTTATTCACAAACCAGCTATACCAGAATCACCTGGGAGAAACTGCTTAGAAATACAGAATTTAGGATCCAGCCCTGACCTACTAAATCAGTTTATTAATCAGTATTTTCACAAGATCCACAGGGAATTAAAATGCACATCCAAGTTTGAAAGCACTGTTCCAAAGAATTCAGTCATTTTCCCAATTAAATTTGATTGGGGAACAGAGAAATAGAGAAAATGAGCCAAATTATGTCAAGATCCCTTTACACTAGTATCACTGATTCTATTTTGATAGTAAGTTACAGAAATTGGCAGTTCTATAAATTTGGGATAAAGAGAATGAGTCATGCTTATAAAAGGCGTAAAAGAAAAATACTGAATAATGCACAAATAAATTGATGAGAAAGTAGAGAATCTATTTATCAATATTGTGCATAATAATAATATCAACCAATACTTTGGCAATGATGACAATGGGAGATAGTGGAAAAGCCACCACATACAATGTAAAAATTCAATAGTAAAGATCTTTCAGGGAGGGGAAGTAGAAAATAATAAAGGATCAATTTATGAAATACTAAAGCAAAGATATAGAACTGTCAACAATGTTGTCACTGGTTTGTAGTTTAAGGAATTATCTGCACATGCTCAAAGTCACTAATTATCCGAGAGATGCAAATCAAAATGACAATGAAGTACCATCTCACATCTGTCAGATGGCTATCATCAACAAATCAACAAATGACAAGTGCTGGCGAGGATGCGGAGAAAAAGGAATCCTCGTGTATTGCTGGTGGGAATGCAGACTGGTGCAGTCACTGTGGAGAACAGTATGGAGTTTCCTAAAAAAAACTAAAAATGGGACTCCCATTTGACCCAGTGATCCCACTTCTAGGAATATATCCCAAGAAATTAGAAACACTAATCACAAAGAATATATGCACTACTATGTTCATAGCAGCACAATTTACAATAGCTGATTTACAACAGCCTAAGTACCCATCAGCAGATGAGTGGATTAAAAAACTGTGGTACATCTACACAATGGAATACTACCCTGCAGTAAAAAAGAAGGAATTCTTACTATTTGCAACAGCATGGATAAAACTGGAGAGCATTAAGCTAAGCGAAATAAGTCAGTTGGAGAATGAAAATTATCACATGACCTCACTCATTTGTGGAATATAATGAACAACATAAACTGATGAACAAAAACAGATCCAGAGACAGAAAAGCATTGATCAGACTGTCAAACCTCAGAGGGAAGGTAGGGGAAAGTGGGGGTAAGGGGAAGAGATCAACCCAAGGACTTGTATATATGCATATAAGCCTAACCAATGGACACAGACATGAGGAGGGTGAGGGCATGAGTGGGGAGGGGGGTGGTGGTGGAGGAGGCAATGGGGGGGATAAAGACACATATGCAATACCTTAAACAATAAAATAAATAAATTTTTTAAAAAGTGGAAAAAAATTATCTGTACAACTGCAAGAATCCTCATCGATGAACATCATTTTCCTACACCCTATTTCTCCACCCTCGTGTAACTTCTTTTATTCTCTTTCACCCCTTTTCTCTTTTCCCTTATGCTTGACAAAGTATCCTCAGGAACTGCTCTAACAAAAGGTGCTCATGATGACAGAAATTATTGACCATGTTCATTAATCAGTGTGAACAATGATTGAAGGGAAATGAATCTGAGGGGGGAAAATACTATCAGCAAAGAATTATTTGGATAGTGATACAGAAAAAGAATATCATACAAAGTAAAAAAAAAAATCAATTAAAATCATTTCAGAAACCAGTTCAAGATCAGTAAAGATTAGAAAATAAATGACAAAGAATTTTTTAAAACTAATAAATGAGGACACATACAGAAGATACAACTGATATATGAACAGTTGATAATGTAGAGAGTTAACGTAGAACTAAGGTGACATGTCATAAATAGGGCAATAGCTAGAAAAAGAGGTGACTTGTAAAAATGATAAATTTTTACTACCGCAGAAAATTTTACATATTTACATGCAAAGAAGTGGAATTCTGAAGGTGGATAATTTAATAAACACAGCAAAATTATTCATCCAAAATAGAGCCATACTCTGTCACTGATGACAATGTATTACATGACCCACAGATATGATAACTGATAAAACTATAAGATCTGAGGGATATTTTAGGAATAGGAAAATTATAATCCCTGTTCCCGTGGAACTTTCAAAAGGCAAATACAGAAACAGAAAAGGAAGCAGGGAACAGACTGACAAATCTTAGAGGGAAAGGGGAGGGGGGTGACTAAACAGGAAGAGATTAACCAAATAATATATATATATATAAAAACCTATGCGGATAGACAATAGTGCAGTGAAGGAGGGGGGTGGTTCCAGGGACAGGGTAATATTTTCAACAATAAAGATAAATTTAAATAAATAAATAAAAATTTAAAAGAAGAGCTATGAAGCTTATTCATATTAAGTGCTAAATTAAGGTAAAAAGTAACTAAAAGCAAACAATAAAAATGAGGGGAAAAAGAAAATACAGAAATTCAGCAACTAATTATGTTTGCCCCAATACTAGCAAAAAGGGTGCTCTTGGAACACATACAGAAATATATCTGAGGGGGGTAATAATCAAGAGAAGTGATATTTAAACTGAGTACAAAGCTTGGTAGGAAAACTGGGTACACTTAGGAAAATTTTTCTAAGCAAAAGGAACAGCATATTAAAAGACCCACAGTTGAGAAAGTGGTCTGTTTATGGGATGGAAGAAAGTCATTATAAACAGCCCAGGAGATGACTCTGAAGAGTAGAGAGAAGCCAGAGGGTATGTGCATAAACTACTACAATATTGGAAATAAATGACTCTAGCATGGCTGAGTAGCAAGAGGACGTGGAGAGAAGTAACAGATCTGAAAACTACTTAGGAGGAAGTCAAAGATTTACTGACTTCATATGGATTGCTTGGTAAAGATGATTTGGTTTCTTTCTTGAACTATTAAATTTATTACAGCTCCATTTATGAAGATAGGAATACTAGAGGAGAAATAAGTCTGAAGGAATTTAGTTTCCAATATGTTCTAATTGAGAAGTCCATGAGACCTCAAAAGTGGAAAAGTCAATTGGTTCAACCCAAGTCATTAATTTACGAATTACAAATTTTTCAAGTGCCTTTTGAATTACAAATTATCAGTAGAGTAAAAATATCTTCGGAATTAAAATAGCTCTATATTATTCATCTGTGAAAATTGACATATATAATGGCCTCCCAAAGATATACTACTCACCCTAATCTACAATACTTGTGAAAATGCTACCTTACATAGCAAGAGACTTTGCAAATGTGATTAAGATTATAAATCTTAAAATAGGGTGTTATATTGAATTATCCAATTATATTGACCCAACTTCATTACATGTGTCCTTAGAAGTAGCGGTCACTGAGAGAGATAGGCTGATAGAAGAAGAAGAAATAGAAATTTAAAATGTGGCTTTGAAGATGTAAGAAGGGAGCAATGACTCAAGGAATATAGGTGACTTTGAGAGGCTGGAAAAAACAGTCTCTCCAGGAACCAACTGAAGGAATGCAACCAGGTCAACACCTTGATTCTAGCCCAATCTAGATAAAATGGAATTTTATATAAGGAAATCAGTGTGCAAAATATAGTAGGGACCCAATAAATGTTTAACATTATAATTAAAGAGTGTATCCTTCCAGTATATTTTCTTGATATGTTTCTTCCAAAGAAATTCTGGATAAATAAAAATTTTGTGGCTTCAAATTTTGTGAATTTGTATCCTATTTAAGGGACTAGTAAGAAAAAAAACTTTGTCACTATCACCCCTTCTTTATAGTTAGATTTTTTATGTTGCATTTTCTTAAAATGGTCAGTTGCTAATTAGAAACTGAAGGAAGCAAAAAAATTAAGAACAATTCAATAAAAATGTCTAACATTTACAAAAGAGGAAAAAAAATAGAAAAGTTTGCTTTCCCCCCCTCGATTTTAAGCAGAATTTTTCAAATACACAAAGGCACACACAGACAAAATTGAAATCTGACAACTATTATTTCCAGTGATATAAAGTCTATGTTATCAAATATATGTATACTAGAGGCCCAGTACACAAAATTCATGCATGGGTAGGGAGGGTCCCTACCAGCTGCCAGCTGGGACCTTCCTTCGTACTGCACCACCCCCCTGGTGGTCAGCACACATCATAGCGAGCAATCGAACTCCTGGTCAGTTGAACTCCCAAGGGGACAGTTTGCATATTAGATTATATATATATATATACCTAATATGATAAAATAAGCTAAAATAATGAGTAATTCAGTAATAACTATATTAAAGTATAATCTGTTTTTATAAAAACTAGTTTAAATATTGTGCTTTAATATGATCTTCCTCCCCTCTAAATCAGTAAGATAGTATAGTCATCTAGAACCTTCAGGCACATGTACAATTCTGGTCAAGAGAGTTTTCTAGCTGGCTATAGTTTTTCTAATTTGAGCATCAAAAACATTCTTACTTATTTTAAAACTTCTTGATAGAGCTGAAAAAATATGAACTCTAGAATGGGACAGGTCCTGGGACAGTATTTTTTAACCTCCTTTGAGTGTTATCTCCTACCTTATAGGATTGGCGAGAAGGATTAAATTATACTACATACATATAAAGTGTGTAATACATTTGATAAGTGTTTTCTATTCCACTAATTATTCTGAAGCAAATTCTTGTCTATAAGAATAACTATCTTTTCTCTCTATTACTTAAAAAGTGGCACAAAGAACATAAATTGATCTATTCTTCATGACAGTGTCCTCAATCACTATAAATGACGTAAGGAGGGTGGTCATACGGCCATACTCCAGGTTTGTCTGGGACAATCACATTTATGCTTACTGTCCTTTTCATCCTCACTCATGCTCACGTGGCCCAGTTTGAATGAAAAATGACATAGTGACCAAAGATAAAAAGAACTATTGAGATACTAGTTAGATAATTGTTCTCTTGTGCTTCCATTATCATCCTGTGAACTTATGTATATCTGTTGGTATAGAGACCCCACCTGATGGATCTTTTTTAATGGTGAAAATTATGTCTTAGTAATCTTTGTTATTTCAGTGTTTAATACAGCAGTTCTCAACCTGTGGGTCTCGACCCCTTTGGGGGTCGAACT